CATCTTTTAGAACGACACGCCACTATAGTGGCTTTCGCGGATGTCATCTCTTTGGACGACGCGCCACTATAGTGGCTTGCTCTAGTAGCTCACTCGCTCATCGTTTGAACCAAATAATCGTCTTCATATGCATTGTTTCACACTTCTTTTGTCTTCACATCGATTTACAACAGTCTACAGGGTGTCACAAAAATGTCTCGCAATCCGGAAATGGCGGGTTCCTCGGATCATTTGAAGCAACTTCTTCCTTTACAAAAATTTTCTCCGAGGCCCCGTTAACGAGTTATTAACGAAAAACAGTGACCGATAAGAATCGAGTTCGGCTGACGCGAGGCGGCCCAGCCAACCAGCGCACGAAGCCCAGTTCCGCTCATTGGCTCGGTCGCCTCGCGCCAGCTGAGCTGGAATTCGACCGCTCGACCGCTGGCGCCGCTGGCTCGGCCGCCTCGCGCCAGCTGAGCTGGGATTCGACAGCTCGACCGCTGGCGCTGTTGACTCGGCTGACTCACGCCAGTTGAGCTGGGACTCGACCGCTCGACCGCTGGCGCCGTTGGTCACTGTTCTTCTCATTGGTCACTGTTTTTCGTTGATAACTCGTTAACGGTGCCTCGGAGAAAATTTTCGTAAAGGAAAAAGTTGCTTCAAATGGCCTGAGGAACCCGCCACTTTCGGATTGCGAGACATTTTTGGGACACCCTGTATATACAGACAGAATATACAGTATCAGATTCTGTACAGTACTCATCAGACTCTGCCGTCCAGAGAAATGGCCTCGCGCAGAATTCAACCGTACCTAAAAGGTTAAAGATTCGTAGGGAACCGGCAAAGAAATCGACGTTGCCGTCTATAGCATGTGTGAAGCTGCCGTGATGCGATTCATCGGATTACGTAGACGATATTTAGACGTGACGTTGTGTACGCAGAAGCACGATCTAGATCTAAGCGTTGTTGTCGGCGCGTAGAAATTGATCTGTCCAATTAAAGATGCGCAATAATGTTCACACGCCATGCCGCTGTACGGGACTCCCGCGCATGCATCACTTTCAGCACTGCTTGCGTAACCTATTTTCCTAAGAACAGTGATCGCGACGCGTTCGTGCGACCGTGCTCTTGGCTCGCGTAATCTGTTTTTCATCGCGGTTTTGTTGCAACAGAGAAATTGAAAATTTCCGGAAGGAACGGCGCGAGAAGATTCGCATGTGCTACAAGCGGCTGGATCAATTGCGGGCGAAGAGAACGGTTTTTGCGAGACGGGGTTCTCGAGAAAAAGGGACCGGACAGGATTGAACTGCGATAAGATCGTAACTCGGAAATGATTGTACGTGCAACTGCGTTTTCCAGCGTTGCCGCACGGCTAATCTCAAAGTGGCGCACGTCCAGTGCAGCAGCCGTTCTCGTGTCCGCCGGATAATTGACCGTGGAAAAATGAAATTCTGCCGAGCATAATGCGACACGTTGCGATTCCATGACGGATCGAATGAAATCCCGGCGACCACCTTGTACCGTTAGGAGACCTGTCACGCACCCTTGCATAATATCGACAGATCTATATATGCATGTACGCTATCTCCGACGAGGGCGCACACGATCCGAAACGTAGTTCCGGCGACGTGTTCAATGACGCATCGAGCGTCACGATTTAAATCGTCACGGTCGATCGGACGCCGATCGAAAGTACCGGCCGATGATTCTAATGTAGGTCGGTGCAGGAACAGGAAGTAATTTCGCCCGTGTCGCGAACGCGCTGCGCCCACTGCCGTACACTACTGTTATGCGATAACTCAGAACGTCGCTCGTTGTTGCTTGCAGAGCTCGAACCTGGGTCAAGAGCTGCTGGACAGGGTGTTCAGGCACCTCAACTTATTGGAGACTGCGTACTTCGGGCTCCGCTACCTGGACCACGGTAATCAAACGGTAAGACCGCATCTTCCTAATTAGACCACGAGGTTGGCCCGTCGCGCGTTTGTGCAGCCCCCCTCCGAAAGTATTGAATATTCGATGAATATGAAATTCCGATATGAAGTTGTTATAATTTTCTACATTTATTTCGAAGTTAATCATATCGAACTGTAACAAGTACGTAAATATATGTATTTTACGTTGTAATGAAAGCAACGTGAATTTTATAAAAGAAAATCAAATCTTCTTTTCATCGATATATCCGTCGCGCGTTTTAATTACTTCTTAATCATTTCGACATCCGTTTTATTAGTTTTTCTATTCTATTGTTTCTGGTTCTCCTTGGTCCCATGCTTTTTGTAGTATGTTCCAGGTACTGAGATATCATACGAAATGAGCTCGGGATACGTTCTCAATGAACGAAGTGTAATAAATGGATAAACTAATTGCAATAAATGATACACAACTTGATATATGTACTTTCGACAATATAGTGTCATATTGCAGACTTGCAGACATTACCTAAATTGAGTGGAATATTAAAATTTATACTAAATAAGCACAGGTGTACCGATAACTTTTGGAGAGGGCTGTACGTCGCGCAAACCTCTTCAGTTTCGGCTGGTTTCGGCACTCCAGATTCACCCTTCCGCAGATCGTATTCGTATTTTCTCAAATTAAGTCTGCCCTTTCGTAGACTAAACTGTTTATTTATTTATATATTTATTTTAAAAATCCATTTTTACGATGGAAAATAGAAATTAATATTAATATATATGATATATAATAATAATAATAATACTGTATATTGGCTATATATATATATATAGAGAGAGAGAGAATCAGCGAGTCAGCAGTTAGATAATCAGTTTATGTAAACTCATTTTGCATCTTGTAATATTAGCTACAAATATGTCTATTCTGTCGCTGTTGTCATTAACAAATTGAAGCATCCCACGAAGTTGTCCTAAATTATTCTTCCGAAATGAAATACCCGCGTTTTGTTGTATGCGTGACCATAACGTTCGGATAACGAAACAATTAAATTGGATACAGTGCTAGATTAAATCCTTACCGATTTTTACAATAAACGGTGTTGCGTGTTTAGATAATCGTGAATTCATATATCATGTTCTATCGTATTTATTTGATAGTAAACATTGATTCGCTCATAATGCTTGTTCTGCTCCTGCTCGTGCCAATTTCGTGCACATGTTTGTGTAACACACATGTTTGATCTTTATGCAAAACAAAAATCATCATCGACAATTGCAACGAAAAGGAGTCGCATAGAAATTTCTTTCTTTCTACAATAATTGAAGTTGAGTTGAAAATATCCATGTGTTATTTATATTTATACGTGTGTTATTGTATATTATATTTATATATGTGTGACTTAAAGTTCTCTCAACAATATATAATAGTCGTTTGAAATGTTAACTACCCATTTGTCTAATAAACGCATCAAATCCGCAGTCTATAGTAATGTAGTACGGCAATCAGTGAGAATAAAAATTGTTACGTTGAACGAATAAATCCGTCAAGAAAATGTTTCTTTGAAAAGAGCCGAAGATGCTCGTCGGAAGAGTGAATTTGGAGTGCAATACGCGTAGCACCTTGCTCGGCAAAGCCCCGAGAGCCAGTGTGACAGATGTAACGTCGCGTAGCATGGTCGGACACCTTCTCGATTCGGAGAAGCCGAAGTTCAATAAAATTCCAATTTGCTGCATCGCATCGCGCGAATGTTCACCGTCGCAGAAAGAATTTCATATGTTTCCGGGAATATTTAGAAGCGATAAACGCATAGAGATCACCGATCTAATGGCAACCCGTGGCATCGCCGCGTCGGTGCCGTCACCGTCGCGGCGCGTTCTTTCGAGGGAGATCGCGCGCTGATTGCGAACGAAACAGCAAGTTCGAAGTAGTTTACCGTTAATTAGATTTTCTCGATGAAAAATTCACACGGAGCGGCGCGATGCCCCGAAGGCGGCCGACTCCATCGCCCTCGGGGCACAAGAGGATAGGATTATTATCTACGGGAAACGTCGAGCCGGCTGCAATTTCCGGCCGGCTCGGTCAACAGTTCGAGCGCGGCGCTCTCGGCTCTCGACCCTGATCGGAGCCCGGGGATTAATTATTTTCGAAATAATTCTCGACTGTTATTCGCGCACTCTTCAGCAATGGCTCGACCCGAGCAAGAAGATCGGGAAACAGCTGAAAGTGGTCAAGGGAGACCCGAGCTCGGACGTCCACACCCTCTACTTCGGCGTGAAATTTTACGCGGCGGACCCGTGCAAGCTCATCGAGGAGATCACAAGGTTAGTAGATTGAATTTACCACCTAGACTAACTAGTTGATAACTCGCTCATGTCCCGTGCCGCGATTCCAAATAATTGATTGGGTAGTTCCGCGGAGGCTCGCCAATCTCGCCGGTCGCCCCCGGACCAGGCGAAATTAGATTAATATCGATCTACAATATATTCGTACAAAGGAAGCGATCAGGAATTTCCGCCAAAGCGAGAACTTTCATCGTCCCCGGGAAAATTGATTAAAACGTCTGCGGGCATGAATAGTCTCGGCGATGGTATTAAAAAGACCATCAAAGAACCGCGCCGCGCCGCACCGCGCTGTTTCGTCGAGCCGCGCCGGTAGCCGAAGGTGCTAATAACAGTAATTCGACGATCCTCATCCTGGGTGCGACGTAAACTCGTTCCTCCGCAATTTCTCAGCTCCGACACCGCGGTAAACGATTAATCGTAGACGAAACAATGCTATCGCGGGAGGACAACGATCGCTGTCGGTTTTATTGCGGGAATCTAACAGTACCTTCCATTCTCTTCGCAGCGAGAATGCTGGCCGAGTACGCGAGCGATTTCCCGGCGCTGTAGAAAAATTCGTTCCGCGTATTGTTCCACGGGGCTTGTCGAATTAATATAAGCGGAATAAGTTAACTAATCCGTCCGATCGGTTCCTCCGGTAACGGTGACGGCTCGTCGACGACGCGTGGCTCTTGTTCTCGCGTCACAGACGCTGCACGCCCTCCTCGTTATCCCAATGAGTCGGGTTTTAAAATTCTCAAAGCACGCTGCTTCTTCGAAATCTCTTCACCTCATCGCGTGTCGCGACAGGGCCACGTGGAACTTCATCCAAACACTCCATTCGTCGGCATCGCGCTACTCCCGGAAGCGTCGGCAAGTGTCCTTTTCGCTGAACGCTGCAACACGCTGCGCTGCACAGAGGTTCGGCGGAGCAGCGAGCCATGGCCAAAATTATTCTAGCGTTTAACCTTCCGTCGTTCTTCTTCGTCCGGTTAGCGCGACTGCGTCTGCGAATTTTCATCGGAGATTTTCTGTCGAGAAGCTGAGAGATGTCTCAGTCGTTGCAGGGAGGGAGAGAGAGAGAGAGAGAGAGAGAGAGAGAGAGAGAGAAAGGGGGGAGAGACAGAGCGAGAGAGAAGGTATCTATCACGCAAGGAAGTTAACTTTAGTTAACTTAACCCTTTACACTCGAATAGCGACTCTGAGGCGCCACTAAAAATTGGTATACTATTTTTCAAAATCATTCTAAGAGCATGAGACACTTTTATACTTAAAAAAAAAACTATTAAAATTCCATTGTACTTGCCAATAGGCTCAATTTCATACGCATGAATCGCAATAAATTATATAAAATAGAAATACTGTAGATCAGAAATCATGTTTTGGATTTCGAATTCAAATAGCTTCGACTGCAAAGGGTTAAAACGGATGATTCTGGATCGATTTCTCTTTGATTTCTTTCAAAGGCTCTTTTCAAATGTCGTTTGAAGAAATCATAACCTTTCCGAGGATAATCTCTACCTATAAATGACAGCTAAGGGTATTACACAGTTTCATACTAAGCTCAAATTCAGAAAGGAGATGTATCAACAGCTTCTTCTAGTACAAATAAAAGAAAAAGAAAAGAAAGAAAGAAGTTGCACGTGAGAGCGGAGATGAGGACGAACGGCGAATAGCGTTTAAGGCAGTTAGCTTGAAGGCGGAGAAAGAGTTACAAAAAGAATCAAGTTGATCGCAGTATCGGTTCGAGACAATAAGTTGTGGGCGGCTGAAAAGAAGGAGGTGTGGAGGAAAAGAAAGGGAAGCTTTTCTAGCGGGCTCTGCCTTATACGCGGAGGTATCGGAGGGACCGTTGGGAGGATTAGTCGCAGAATTGGTTCCATGACCGACGTCAGACTCCAAAAAGGACGATGAGATTGTACAAGCGGAAAATAAGGGGTTCCTGAGGACATTTGAAATGACTTTTTCCTTAGCGAAAATGTAATTCACGGCTTCGTTTATGAGTTATTCACGAAATACAGTGACCAATGAGAAGCGAGACCAGCTGGCGCGAAGCGGCCGAGTCAATCAACGGAACTGAGCCTCGACTGCTTGTTGGCTCGGCCGCCTTGCGCCAGCCGAGCTCGTCACTCATTGGTCAGAGCTTTTCGCTAATAACTCATAAACGAAGGCGCGGATTGCATTTTCGCTAAGGAAAAAGTTGCTTCAAATGTCCTCAGGAACCTTTTACTTTCTGCTTGTACAATAATTTTAAGACATCCTGTATACGAATCGTGACGGTCGCCACAAAGTAAACGGTTTAGTCTATTAAAGAATCCATAATGAGATCTATGTGTGTGATTCCGGTAAAAAGAGAGAATGTTTTCTAAGAAGACGAGCAGGTACGTAGTAATTAAGCTCGTCTGAGGATGGTTTCCCTGTTTCTGTAAAATCCATGCGAAATTTGCTTCATCAAAGGGCGAAACTGCGTGTCGAATGTAAATTCGTTGCTCCGCATTGATTACGCGGAGTGTCATCGATACAATAATCGATCGCACGAAGCTTCCGATTCCCGACGTTCATTAGCTAATTGAACCCGATTAAGGGGCGATTCCCATTGTGTCCAACAGAGTTCAATTTCTATCGTATAGAATAGCGCATTAGCGCATAGAATCGACGAAGTCCCGACCTATAATGCATCCTATTGTCGACTCGCACAATCGGCGCGACGAGCCCGGGGTCAATACGCGGTCGTGTAACAATGATGCCTTAAGCCTTAAGTCTGCTTTGCGAGCCTGAAATAACAGGGAAATCCGCTCGTTGAGCACCACCGTCTCCCAATAATATCGGTCGCTGCTCTATGCGGATCTATCTTCGGTTCATTTGGCTCCATTTAGAAGCCAAATAAAAATGTTGTATTCAAGCAGATCAAGAGGCTCGAAGAGAAGCGTCCAGAGCTATCGATTCGATTCTCGCCCGTGAGACTTCTTCGTCTTCGCCGCTGCCGCTTTAAATCGTTCTCCAAACATACGGATAAAATCATTATTATAATTATATAGTTATTTTATTTTTTATTATTATTTATTATATATTTATTTATTAATTATATATATTTATATGTTATATATAATATATTATATATAATAATATATATAAATAATATATAAATAACATATATATATATATATATATATATATATATATATATATATATGTATAATTATATATATATATATATATATATATATTTATTATATATTTATATATTATTATTTAATTATTTATTGAGTATATACGAGAAGTTAAAAAATTAAAAAATACAGAGTTTTACAACGACTTGGTACAGGTTTAAAGTAAAAAAGGAAAAAACAAAGTAAGATTATTATACCACAGTCGCCTCGGATTTGTAGCTTTTAAGCTAGGGCAGAGACTGACTCACAGATTATAATTATAATCCGATTATAATTACATCCGATCTCTCGGAACAAAGAGAATCGTTACCGCCAACTATCAATTAATTTTTATGCACCTTAGAGATCGTTGAGATCGATAATTCTGACTCCCATAAATCGTGTGCCTGTATCGAAGCCAATCGATTCTGCAACGATTTGAACTATTTTTCAAGCAACGCATGCTGCCTCGAAAAATTGCACATGCAAATTAATGTAACTAATTGAAACATGTTCCATCTGAATTACGTATTACGTTTCTCGTGTACAATAAAATAAACGAATAAATAAACAAATAAATAGATAGATAGATAGATAGATAGATAGATAAATAAATAACTAAATAAATAAATGTAATACAATGCTATGCGATATTAAACACGTAAAAATATTGATGCACCTATCACGAAACATCTGCAACATATCCATCGGGAACTTTGAATTCGAGAACTTCGGTCTATCGGTACGACGATCTCTGTGCGGCGAACAATGTAGTCGGACCGTTGAGAAATCGCGAGCATTCAGCGACGTTTCGTTCCGCGAGAGCCGAATAACACACTGCCCGAACAAATCGCTGTCGTTTTTCTTGACTTCTTATCGGACAGCCGAGTCGGAAGAACTGCGTCAAAAGAGCGCTCGATCCAGCCGGCAGCCGTCGAAATCGGCGGAGTATAAGCGGCCGTCGTCGATGCGTGCCAGTCCTCTTTAATGGAAGACCTCGCTGAAAAATTGGAGGTTCTGGCACCGATAAAGCGGCTCGATTGATTCCTTGTTCGTCGCTCGGGCTCCATCAACCCCCGCGACGCTCGATTTCACCCCCGGCGATCCATCCGGCGTTTCTTCCTCCCGATAAACACAGGCTTCCTCTGACTCTGGTAGCAGAGTCTGACTTCGACCCCGACTCTCGGCCACGGCCGTCAAGATAAAGCGGTCGTTTTTTCGGAAACGTCGACTTTGCCGTCGATATCGATCATCCACGGTCACGGCTGCTCGCCTCGCCTCGCCATCTTCCCGCTGCCTCGCGCGAAATCGAGGAACTGATATCTTGCTCGTTCCATCGCGAATATTCGAGTTCCGCTTCCGCCTGATCGCCACGTTCAGGCAACGTTTATATTTCGTGCTCGAACACTTTGCTGGCCGAACGATTATTGTTACATTACAGATACGGAAGAAGAGCATGCTCGCGGTAACGATGCATTCCACGCCGGCCACATACGTATCAGTTATGTTCGCGCTAAATCGGAATCGGTTGCCTCCATTGCGAAACACGGCGCACTCGCGTTTAGAAACTTCGTTGCAAGCTACGCCTACGATCTCTTTTCTTACAACATTCGGCCAACCGAATGAGAGGAGATCTCCCCGTTTTAACCCTTTGCACTCCGCTGTCCCCTCTCGTGGGACATCGTGATTCTAGCATATCACTCGGATGTCCCCTCTGGTGGAACATTAAAGTTTATTAGTGATTACGAGGAATTGAGTTATTTCAGCGCAACTTTTTGAGACATGCATGTTTCCCTGAAGATTTCTCTTGAAATGGCACAAGAAATCAAATCAAAATATAGTAAAATTACT